GCATAATGTAAGAAATTGTTTTTTGTATTGCTAGCATGAAGAAATAAATTTACAAGGGATTTTACTTCTCCACAAAGCAAATAATTTGGATGTTTTGTAAACTGCTTAGCATGGTATAAATATGAGATAATTTAAGCCGGAAGAAAATGATTTTTCTCACTCCACTGCTCCCTTGGAAAATATTTAAAATATGGTAGTCATATTTCTAATTTCCCTTTGAAGATGCTTTTGGATAGATTCCAGGAAAACGACCCTTTGTAAAACTGATGAATGTTTCATCTAAAAATTTGGTCTGCTTATAAAAAATTAACTACCACACGTTTAAGTGCCTATGTTAGTTACTATGGTACAAATTATTTTCGGTAGAAGTTTCACGCTGAGAAAAACCGTGAAGTGCATAAGATAAATGCATTCACGGTGATTACACTCTTCAGGAGCTAGAAAATAACTACTTAGGAAGATTATGCATGACAGTAATTGCTGTTTAATGAAGAAAAGCTGGGGAAAATAATTATAAGAGTAAAGAAGCCATTTCCTAACCATCTGTCATTTAAAAATCAGAAACAAAAAAAGAAAATATGGCATATTTTTCAGAAAGACTTGGAAATGATGCCAAAAGGCAATACTCTGGTGGCGCACACACAAAAGAGCTTTCAGAAGAGTCTGAGATTACTATACAGAAACAGTCTAAGCACCCACAATGTATTTACTATTACAGCTAGTTATCTTTATTTTGACATTTCTACGTTGCCAAGAGGAAAGGACAAACCCAGCTGAGATGTCCATCACTGGAAACAGTAAACACCAATAGGAAGACATTTTCTCCCGCTAGAAGAAAAAGAAGGTGACTATAGGAAAAAGCAGTCTTTTTTTTTTTTTTGAGACGGAGTTTCACTCTTGTTGCCCAGGCTGGAGTGCAATGGTGTGATCTTGGCTAACCGCAAGCTCCACCTCCTGGGTTCAAGTGATTCTCCTGCCTCAGCCACCCCTGTAGCTGGGATTACAGGATGTGCCACCACACCCAGCTAATTTTGTATTTTATTAGATGCCGATCTCGAACTCCCCACCTCAAGTGCTACGCCCATCTTGGCTACCCAAAGTGCTGGGATTCTAGGCATAAGCCACCGTGGCTGAAAAGCAGTTTTCTATTTATCACTTTGAATTTACTATTTTGTTGAATGCATGGAAGGAATATTAGTAAGCTAATAAAGGACTATATAATTAAAGACTTTATTCCCATAACATTTTATTGGTGGTCTCTTCTGCTGAAGCAGGTATTCTTAAGGCTATAGATAGAGCTTAGATAGGCTGTAGATAGGCTCTAGACCTAGGCAGGTGAATCTCTTGAGGTCAGAAGTTCGAGACCAGCCTGGCCAACGTGGTGAAACCTCATTGCTACTAAATATACAAGAATTAACTGGGTGTGGTGGTGCATGCCTGTAATCCCAGCTACTTGGGAGGCTGAGGCAGGAGAATCCCTTGAACCCAGCAGATGGAGGTTGCAGTGAGCCCAGATCACACCACTGCATTCCAGCCTGGGCGACAGAGCAAGACTCCATCTCAAAAAAAAAAAAAAAAAAAAAAGACTGGGCTCGGTGGCTCATGCCTGTAATCCCAACATTTTGGGAAATGAGGCAGGTGGATCACCTGAGATCAGGAGTTCGAGACCAGCCTGACCAACATGATGAAAGCCCGTCTCTACTGAAAATACAAAATTAGCCAGGTTTTGTGGTGCATGTCTGTAATCCCAGATACTTGGGAGGGTGAGGCAGGAGAATCACTTGAACCCGGGAGGTGGAGGTTGCAGTGAGCCAAGACTGTGCCATTGCACTCTAGCCTAGGCAACAAGAGCAAAACTCTGTCTCAGAAAAAAAGGGATATAGATATTAGCCCCTTCAGAGTCTCCAATTCTGATATAAGGGAGCTGATGATCTGGATGTGGAGGAAGAAGCAACATCATGAATTATTCAGTGTTGTTGTTGTTTAACAATACAGGAGTTAATAACCAGACAAGACAATCATACAAGAGCTGTGAGGCAGTATGTGATTAGGGTGCAGCTGGAAGTAATCTCTCTCTTCTAAATTTCCAGGATGCTTTAGCTGTGCCCCTTTTAACACTTTCCTCTTTCTCTCTATTGCTACTGTTATTTCTTGCCTTTTTCTCCCGGTGACAGTGAACTACTCGAGGGCAATTCCATGTCTGATTTGTCCTTGATGTCCTAGCCTATGCCTGCCTAGCACTGCTGCCAGAAAATATTTATTTCAATAAAATGAGGGGACATAGGGGATATGTTTTGGGTGTGAAGAGGATGAGGGGAAGGGTGTTGCTTGCTGTGAAGATTCTCACTTTGAACAAAACTAATTTTTTTTTTTAATAGGATCTCACTCTGTCTCCCAGCCTCCCGAGTAGCTGGGACACACCATCACGCCCAGCTAATCTGTGTGTGTGTGTGTGTGTGTGTGTGTGTGTATTTTAAGAGACGAGGTCTCTCTGTTGCCCAGGCTGGAGTGCAGAGGACAACTCACTGCAGCCTCAACTTCCTGGGCTCAAGAAACCCTCCCACCTCAGATTCCCAAGTAGCTGGGACTACAAGACATGCCAGTATGCTTGAGTAATATTTGTGTTTTTTGTAGAGACAGGGTCTTTGCCATGTTGCCCAGACTGGTCTTGAACTCTTGGGCTCAAGTGATCCTCTCACTTCCACCTCCCAAAGTGCTGGGATTACAGGCATGAGCCACTGCACCTGACCAAAAATAGATTTCAAACAAACAACAAATGTCATTGTTTTTATCTCTGCAGCACACATTCACCCTTTTCGTGGTGAGAATGCCTTGATTTTCTTTTGGGAAACTACCACCTCCTTATTACATGTCCTTGGTAGGACTGTCATCACGGTGTCCTGCCCTCCCCTGGCCTAAGTAATCATACTTCATGGAGATGGAACTCAGGCACAAGAGCAGACATTGCTAGTGACTCATCCCAGTGGTAGCCTATTCACTGGGTTGGAGATCATTCATTTGGTCTGCCATCCTTTTGCAGATTAAGGATGGCTATTCATTCTTTGTCTCTCCCATCAAGAGGCAAAGTCCATGCTCATCCCCTTCAATTTAGCCAGGTTCTGCAACTGCCCTGATCCATAGAATACAGTGGAAAAGATTGTGACTGTGATAGTTTTGGTACCTAGGCCTTGATAGATGCAGCTTCCACTTCCTGTCTCTCAGAAGGTTCTCATTTCCTCTTATGTCCAGCCTTTCCTAAGGTTTTTATGTCCTTTGGGTTCCATAGCTTCTGACACTGGTGTTAAAAAATTCCCCATCAGCCGGGCTCAGTGGCTCATGTTTGTAATCCCAGCACTTTAGGAGGCCGAAGTGGGCAGATCACTAAGTCAGGAGTTAGAGACCAGCCTGGCCAACACAGTGAAACCCCATCTCTTCTAAAAATACAAAAATTAGCTGAGTATGGTGGTGTATGCCTGTAATCCCAGGTACTCGGGAGGCTGAGGCAGAAGAATCACTTGAACCTGGGAGGCAGAAGTTGCAGGGAACTGAGATCGAGCTACTACTCTCCAGCCTGGAAGACAGACCGAGACTCTTTCAAAAAAAGAAAGGGCCGGTCACGGTGGCTCATGCCTGTAATCCCAGCACTTTGGGAGGCCGAGGCGGGCAGATCACGAGGTCAAGAGACGGAGACCATCCTGGCCAACACAGTGAAACCCTGTCTCTACTAAAATATAAAAATTAGCTGGGCGTGGCGGTGCGCGTCTGTAGTCCCAGCTACTCGGGAGGCTGAGGCAGGAAAATTGCTTGAACCTGGGAAGTGGAGGTTGTAGTGAGCCGAGATCGTGCCACTGCACTCCAGCCTGGTGCCTGGCAACAGAGCGAGACTTTTTCTCAAAAAAAAAAAAAAGAAAAAGAAAAAGAAAAAAAATCTCTATCATGATTTGTAAGTATCTCCTTGTCCTTCTGTCATTTTTGTGTTATATGTCTTCTAACCATGTTGTTAGATACATGCAAATTCATGGTCATATATAATTTTTCTTCCTTGATAATTATGTAGCATCCTTTGTTAGCTAAACTTTTTTGCTTCGCATTCCATTTTGTCTAGTATCAATAACTGCTACATCGGCCTTTCTTTGAATAGTTCCTTTATTTCTCTATTTGCTTCTCCCATCCTGGTTAGGAAACTCCACTGCACTCTGTCCATTGCAAGTTGAGAGGTGAGGCCCCAGCTGCCACATACAGTGAGTGAAGAAGCTGAGCTTCCTTCAAACCCTGGGCCTCCACCTGCTGTATAATTTTTTTTTTTTTTTTTTAAGATGGGGTTTCACCATGATGGCCAGGCTGGTCTTGAACTCCTGACCTCAGGTGATCCACCCACCTCGGCCTCCCAAAGTGCTAGGATTACAGGCGTGAGCCACCGCGCCCGGCCAATTTTTTTTTTTTAAACGGAGTCTCATTCTGTTGCCCAGGCTGGAGTGCAATGGCGCTATCTTGGCTCATTGCAACCTCCATCTCCCAGGTTCAAGCAATTCTCCTGCCTCAGCCTCCCGAGTAGCTGGGATTTCAGACTTACACCATCATACCTGGCTGATTTTTGTATTTTTAGGAGAGATGGGGTTTTACCAGGTTGGCCAGACTGGTCTGGAACTCCTGACCTCGGATGATCCACCCGCCATGGCCTCCCAAACTACTGGGATTGTAACCGGGTGACAGGAGCAGGGCTGCGGGGATGTTTCAAAGACGCTCACTGTTCCCCAGTTGGATGTGTTTTCCCCAAGTCCTTGGGCCTCACTCACCCAAGAATGGGGAGGAGGACTCTGGCAGCGTGGTGAGCTCGTTCAAGTAAATATCGGATCCAAAGAGCTTTGCAGAAAAGCGATTTATTAGGGAGAGAGAGAGAAAGAGAAAGAGAGAGAGGGAGAGAGGGAGAGGGGGAGAGGGGGAGAGAGAGAGAGGAGAGAGAGAGAGAGAGAGAGAGAGAGAGAGAGAGAGAGAGAGAGAGAGAGAGAGAGAGAGAGAAACTGTCGTTGGAGGGAACCCAGATATGGAGTCCACACAGGTAAAGAGAGAGACAGAAAGCAGGCTCCCACACTGCCATGGGAGGGGATCCCAGAGAGAGAAATCCGTATGTACAGGGGTAAGGGAGTAGGGAAAATTTAACCCCGGAGTTACTCCCACCCCATTCAAGTTTTCGTCCAGTTAGAGGAGCTTTTCCAAACTTCCTCTGGAGTGATTGATCTTTCACTCTGATGCTGGATTGGCTGCCTGACTCACAATAGAGCCCCTCCTTCCAAGGCATTTGGTTGGCTTTCTAAACAAAGTAAGCTCACCTGGGCTGTCTACCCTTGCACGGGGGAAAGTTAGACAAAGAACTCTAGGCTCCCCGATGGGGAGGTGGATGGATGTATGGCTCTGGGAAGTTCTTGCCTTTGAAACCACGTCCCTTACGGACCTGAGAAGTGAAGTTACATAGTCCCTCAAAATTACAGTCATGAGCTACCACGCCTGGCCAGAATGGGCATTTTTTTTTTAAATTGTGGTAAAATAGACGAACAACAACAACAAAAGAAAATCCCACAATGTAAACTTTACCATCTCAACCATTTTTAAATGTACAGCTCAGTAGTGATAAGTAAGTGTTCGTTGTGGTGCAACAGATTTCCAGACCTTTTTCATAATGCAAAGCTGAAACTCTACACCCATTAAAAAACTCCCCACTTCTCCTTCTCTTCAGCTCCCAGCAACCACCATTCTACTTTTTGTTTCTATGAGTTTAACTACTTTAGATGCCTCATATAAGTAGAATCGTACAGTATTTGTCTTTTGTGGCTTATGTCTAACGTAATGTCCTCAAGGCTCATCTATGTTGTAGCTTGTGTGAGCATTTCCTTCTTTTTAAGGCTGAATAATATCTCATGGTATATACATAACACATTTTCTTTCTCCATTTATCTATCGATGGGCATTTAGTTTGTCTCCACATCTTGGCTATTGTGAATAATGCCTCTGTGAACATGGGTATGCAAATACTATATCTCTTTGAAATCCTGCTTTCAATTCTTTTGGATATAGCTAGAAGTGGAATTGCTGGATCATATGGTAAGTATATTTTTAATTTTTTGAGGAACCTCCATTCTGTTTTCCATAGCAGCTGCACCGTTTTACATTCCCACAAACTGTGCACAAGTGTTCCAAAGAGCATGGGTATTTTTAAAAGCTCTTTCAGTAGAGGCTTTCTGTTTATTATCCTTTTGCTTTCCTTTTTTCTTCTCCATCATTGCTTTAACACAACCTGTCTTGTTTGCCTGGACTAACCAATTGGTTTGATAAAGTTTCCTATATTTTATTTCTTTATCCTACTGGAGGCTATACAATTTGATTCTTTTACAATAGACTTAAAAATTTTTTATATGTATATTATTTGATAAACTACTTTTTTCCTTTTTCTTTTTTTTTTTTTTCTGGAGACAGGGTCTCACTCTGTCACCCAGGCTGGAGTGCATGATCTTGGCTCACTACAACCTCCGCCTCCTGGGTTCAAGGGATTCTCATGCCTCAGCCTCCTGAGTAGCTAAGATTACAGGGGCATGCCACACGCCTGGCAATTTTTTGTATTTTAGTAGAGATAGGGTTTCACCATGTTGGCCAAGCTGGTCTGGAACTCCTGACCTCGTGATCTGCCCACCTCAGCCTCCCAAAGTGCTGGGATTACAGTCATGAGCCACCATTCTTGACCAGTATTTTTTTTTAAAAGATATCTACTCTTCTAGCATGGGATATTGTCTGGAATGGGATGGTTTAAATATTACCATGGTGTAGTTTAAAATATAAAATAGGATTTGGAACCTTATCATGATAAATTTCGGTATATGATATATGTGGTTGTCTCCCCCCGCAAAGTAAGGAACCCTTTTAAAGCATGGAGAAGATATTTTTTGGTATGAAAGGGTGACGAGCCTTTAAATCTTTCAGGGATACATGTAAGCATAAGGATTTAGCCTCTACGGTGAAGGTGGATGCAGCACTCAAAGTTGCTAACATCAACTTCCTAACTTTCAGCCAGGGTTCTCACTGCATTTGGCATAGCTCTGAGGAGACAAGAGAGTTTCTCACAGCATAGCACGCTGCCTTCTGACAACATGGAGCTAAGCTGCCAAAAATGACAATCAGAGATTCAATAAGAAATTTTGGACATTAAATCAATTTATATTATTACTTTTTCTTTTTCTTTTTTGTTGCCCAGACTGGAGTGCAGTGGCCTGATCTCAGCTCACTGCAACCTCCATCTCCCAGGTGCAAGCAATTCTCCTGTCTCTGCCTCCCAAGTAGCTGGGATTACAGGCGTGAACCATCACTCCCGGCTGTTTTTTGTTTTGTTTTGTTTGTATTTTTAGTAGGGTTTTACCACGTTGGCCAGGCTGGTCTTGAACTCTGATCTTGTGATCCACCTGCCTCAGCCTCCCAAAGTGCTGGGATTACAAGCATGAGCCACTGCGCCCCGCCTGCCATTATGTTTAATTACTAATATTCCATTTATCACAGAACTTCAAAACCATATTATTTCCCCTCGTCTTCTTTCTCCTTTTGGAGAAGATATCCAGCCTAGAGTTCATTTTTTCAACTGATTTTTAAAATTTTAATGTCAAATTTTAAATTTCTATTTCTCTTTCAGAGCTACCTATTTCTTGTTCTATAATGGATTTTTTTGCTTCCTACTTTCTTGTTCTTTTTTTAAGGAGGGAATATATCTCTTTATGTATCATAAGCACATTTATTTTCAATTCCTTATCAAGCAGTTCTATGAAATTATTTATTTATTTTATTTTATTTTTTTGATACAGAGTCTTGTTTTGCAGCCCAGGCTGGAGTGCGGTGACATGATCATAGCTTACTGCAGCCTCAATCTCCTGGACTCAAGCCATCCTCCCGCTTCAGCCTCCTGAGTAGCTGGAACTGCAGAAGTGAGCCACCACACTAGCTAATTTTTTTTAATTTTTAGATTAAAGTCAAGGTCATGCTATGTTGCCCAGGCTAGTCTCAAACCCATGACTTCCCAAAATGCTGAAATTACAGGGAGGAGCCACCATGCCAGGCTTATTTTCTTTTGCTTTTTTTTTTTTGAGATGGAGTTTTGCTCTTGTCACCCAGGCAAGAATGTAATGGCATGATCTTGACTCACTGCAACCTCAGCCTCCCGGGTTCAAGCGATTCTCTTGTCTCAGACTCTTGAGTAGCTGGGATTACAGGTGCCCGCCTGACTAATTTTTGGTATTTTTAGTAGAGACAGGGTTTCACCATGTTGGCCAGGCTGGTCTCGAACTGCTGACCTCAGGTGATTCACCTGCCTTGACCTCCTAAAGCACTGGGATTACAGGTGGCCAAGCCTAATTTTATCTAGAGTGAATTCGTACTCTTAACTGGGGAGGTGGAATTCATGCTGTTTCTTATGTAAAATATTTTAATGTGGTTTTGAATTTTACTTTGCACAAGGCTATTCTGAGCGGAAAGAGCTGTAGTCTTTTATTTATTGTCTCTTTCCTGTTTCCTCCATGCTCACTTTTTCCTACCTGACAGTATTGCCTTTACGTCCGCAAAGCTGCCCGGACCTCAGTTCAGAAGCAGAAACACAGAAGTCTTTTTGGTATTCCTGCCTTATTTCCTTATGTTGATATTGTAAATACCACAATATTTACACACTGTAAATACTTACAATATCAAAGTAAGGCAGGAATACCAAAAAATTAAACCCACGTGTCAATTTGAGAAAAATTTATAGGACTATGACATGCATTCATTTGTCATTTAAAAAATCTTCCATTAAAATGTTGCTATTTTTTTTTCTTTTGATGCATTCACTACATCAGGCTCTGTCCTTGAATTCCTCTTTTCCCAACTTCTGTGCTTCCGTAACTTTAAGCCATAGGGTATCCAACGTTTTTTCAGGCTCCATCACAAGAGGGAGCCCCATCCCTAGTCCCCATCCTCAAAGGTCTCTGCGTGATGCTGTCTGCTGTTAGTCTTGACTACCTTGTGGGAGCCAAAGCCCTGGACCTGAGAATAGAAGGCAAGTAGGTATATAGCTGCGATTCAGCTCTTCCCTGTGTAATTTTTGTTTGTTTCTGTGCCATGGAAGTATTTAAGTTTTTGCATTCTGAACCAACTACATCATTTTTATTTCCCCTTTTTATAAACTTTTTATTGCTACATATTTGGAATGAGCGTAGGGACTGAAAGTGGGAGAGCGGGAGAGATTGATCAGAGAATGAGGCTGATGCACCTTTGGGCAGATATCAGTTATGTCCTGCTCACATTCAAGGTGTAAAAGTTTAGGCCGGTTGCAATGGTTCACGCCTGTAATCCCAGCACTTTGGGAGGCCAAGGTCAGTGGATCACCTTAAGTCAGGAATTTAAGACCAGCCTGGCCAAAACCCATCTGGGTTTGAGACTAGCCTGGGCAACATAGCATGACCTTGGCTTTAACCTAAAAATAAAAAAAAAATTGGCTAGTGTGGTGGCTTACTTCTGCAGTTCCAGCTACTCAGGAGGCTGAAGCAGGAGGATGGCTCGAGTCCAGGAGATTGAGGTTGCAGTAAAACCCATCTCTACTAAGAATACAAAAATTAGCCAGGCGTGGTGGCGTGCACCTGTAACTCCAGCTGCTAGGGAGGCTGAGGCAAGAGAATCACTTGAACCTGGGAGGTGGAGGTTGCAGTGAGCCAAGATTGATTCAGTCTCAAAAAAAAAAAAAAAAAGGTTATGTGCATGTTTTATTTGACAAGCTAGTTCATACTTTTTAGTTTTTTAAAATTTATTTACCAATAAAGCAAAGGCAAGCCAATTAGTTTTTATTTCTAATTAGAAAAGCAATAACTTTTTTTTTTCATTTTTTTTTTTTTAATTGAGAGGGAGTCTTGCTCTGTCGCCCAGGCTGGAGTACAGTGGCCGATCTCAGGTCACTGCAATCTTGTGCCCTCTGGGCTTAAGCAATTCTCCTGCCTCAGCCTCCTGTGTAGCTGGGACTACAGCTGCGTCACCATGCCTGGCTAATTTTTGTATTTTTAGTGGAGACGGGGCTTCACTGTATTGACCAGGCTGGTCTCGAACTCCTGACCTTGTGATCCGCCCACCTCAACCTCCCAAAGTGCTGGGATTGACTGTGAGCCACTGTGCCCCACCATAACTCTTAATTATAGAAAAATTATTAAAATTCAGGAAAGGAGAAATACTAGCTTGGAGAATGGTGAGTGGGATGCTTTACGGATGCCTCCTCTTTGAAGATGTGCCTTGAAAGATGAGGATTTTAGCAGTAGGATTGAGAGGAAAGAAAAGGGTATTTTAAAGTGGGGGGTAGAATCCAGTTTCAGAAATAAAAATATTAGACATGCTTCACAGGATATTGCTGGATATATGGAGTAAGGATGGATATATAGATAAAGCTGGAAATGATTTTAATGAGATGAGATTTTACAGATCTTCAATGTAAAAGAGTTTGGCATTTATTCTTCAGGAAATGAAAATCCAAGTTCTTGGCCAGGCTCAAAGGTTCACACCTATACTCCCAACACTTTGGGAGGCCGAAGTGGGTGGATCACTTGTGGCCAGGAGTTCAAGACCAGCCTATAGATGGTCCAAGATAGATGGTGAAACCCTATCTCTACGAAAAATACAAAAACAAGCTGTGTGTAGTGGCTGGTGCCTGTAATACCAGCTACTTGGAAGGCTGAGACAGGAGAATCTCATGAACCCTGGAGCTGGAGGTTGCAGCGAGCTGAGACCCCTCCACTGCACTCCAGCCTCGGGGACACAGTGAGACTCTGTCTCAAAAAAAAAAAAAAAAGAAAGAAAAGAAAAGAAAATCCAAGTTCCACATTTGTCCTTAAAAAATTCAATTTCCGGAACACACACAGGAAAAATTCCTGTAAAGGTCTTTTTGTAGCACAGCACAGAAAAGTACAATGTTACATTTGAGAATGTCTATTTTGTTCATTTCCTGTGAGACAAGTTGGAATGTAAAATGGGAGGAAAAGCCTTGTATTTTAGTTCCTTCCTGATTTTCCCCCACCCCCCACTGCCCAAAGGTAGGCAGGGGCTGGGGAGGACCAGAATTACGTATTCATTCTCTGAAATTAAACACAAGTAAAAATTCACATATATCCCCAATGGTAAAACAGTCCCAGAACCAGCACTTTAACTATAAACACAGAAAACATTTTGTATTGCTACAAGAACAAAAGTATAATCAAGAAAGATTCTTTGTAATGTTATCTAAAACCTGAAAAGTCTGTAGTTTTGGTTGGTTGCCCAGTAAATTGAAAGGATTGTTTTTTTTTTCAATTTTGCGTTTCATTTTTCTTGGTCTAAGGCCCAATCTATTGCCAGTGGTGAGTCAGAAGGGATGCCTGAAATAGTTCTTGTGCAGTTATCTATGTTCGTGTCTTATCATCCACGGATGGCCAAGACTTTCTCATTCATCTACATATTTCACAAAAGCCTAGCACAGTGTTCCCATGTTAAATGTTTGCTGAATTATATAAAAGGATTTCAACTCATCTGTCAAATATGTGAGACAACAAATAGCGTTTTGTGATGTGTCCGCTGATGGGTAGTTAGAATCGTAAGGCCAAAAGTAACCCAAAGTTTCCTTTTCCCTTTCCCTTGACCAGGAAGAACTATCCAATGAATGCTATTCACCGCTAAGGAAAAAGTTCTGCTAAAGATATTTTTTCAAAATATTAAGATAAAAGTAAAAGCATTTATTTTCAGAAAGTGATTGTCATTAGCTATAAAAATCGAATTACAAGGCTGGTGCAGTGGCTCACACCTGTAATCTCAGCACTTTGGGAGGCCGAGGTGGGTGGATCACAAGGTCAGGAGTTCAAGACCAGCCTGGCCAACATGGTGAAATCACATCTCTACTAAAAGTACAAAAATTAGCCAGGCGTGGTGGCATGCACCTGTAGTCCCAGCTACTCGGGAGGCTGAGGCAGGAGAATCAGTTGAACCTGGGAGGCAGAGGTTGCAGTGGAAAAGAAAACAAAAGAAAAAGAAAAATTGAATTACACATAAAATAGTGGTATCCAACTTATGGGACAACAGAGTAACAGAAACTAGACCTCCAGAAACCTAAAAAAATGAACAAAAAATAGATTGGCTAATGTAATATATTATACCACACTACATTATATTACACTGTATTATAACATACCATATTATAATATACTAATGGTGCTCAAACAAAGGAGCCCAGAGATTTTGAAGAATATCATCATGAGGTAGAGAGAGAGAGGTATGAGGGGTCTTCTCACTTATTACTTCTATCCCTCTCTCCATAGGCTGTGGTGGCTGAGAGAAATGACAGACACCTTTGTGATACCAGAGCACTTTCCAGACGTGCTGTTGGTGGCCCTGTCGGAGTCTGTTGGCCATATACCTGGGTATCAAATCAAGAGAGCATGAGAAGTTGGATAGCTAAGGTCCAAGGCAAAATGGTTACTAAAGGCCATCCCTGACCCTGACCCCGAAAGAAGAAAAGATCCTTTGCTCTTGGCATGCTTTTGCAGGAGTGTCTCAGTCTGTTTGGGCTGCTATAACATTGACTGAGTGGCTTATAAACCACAACGATGGGCCAGGTGCAGTGGTTCACGCCTATAATCCCAACACTTTGGGAGGCCAAGGCAGGTGGATCTCTTGAGGTCAAGAGTTCAAAACCAGCCTGGCCCGTGACCAGTGAAATCCTGTCTCTACTAAAAATACAAAAATTAGCCGGTCGTGGTGGCACATGCCTGTAGTCCCAGCTACTCCAGAGGCTGAGGCAGGAGAATCACTTGAACCTAGGAAGCGGAGGTTGCAGTGATCAGAGATTGCGACATTGCACTCCAGCCTGGGCAACAAGAGTGAAAATCTGTCTCGAAAATAAATAAATAAATAAATAAATAAACAACAACGGTGTGTTTCTTCATGGTTCTGGAGGCTGGGAAGTCTTTGATCAAGGTGCCGGCCAATGTGGTGTCTGCGGAGGGCCTGCCTTCTGGTTGGTGAGCAGCACCTTCTCTCCTTGTCCGCACGTGGTGAAAGGGGAGAGGCAGCCCTCTGAGGCCTCTTTCTTAAGGGCATTAATTCCATTCATGAGGGCTTCCTCTCATGACCTACTCACCTCCCGTGGACCCACCTGCTAATACCATCCATCACCTTGAAGATTTGGTTTTTAATATATGAATTTTGGGGAACACAAACATTTCAATCATAGCCAGAAGGTAAATTGGTGTTGCTCTAAACTAGAGAAGCAGAGAGGACTCTGGGAAATACTACTCCCTCCCTGGGGCTTCTAGGCTTTTAAAATCTTTTCATCATTGCCATATATCTCTCCTCAATGACTCTACAGCCCTGGATTAGAACAGAGCATAAGACACGACTTTCAATTTTTTTATAATCTGGTATAGAGATTCATTCATTCATTCATTCATTCAACATACATGCAGCATCTACAATGTGTCATGAATATATGCCAGAAAGGCAGAATATTTGCCAAACAAATGGTGTAGCTACTGTATGCAATGAGATTTGGGAAGCTGTCTCTGTGGGTCGGAGAGCCTGGGAAGGCTTTATCAAAGAACTCAGGATTTGAAGTGGGACTTGTAAAATGGGTGGGATTTCGACTGGAGGAGAAGGAGGAGGTAATGCTGGAAGTGCAGAGGTATGAGTCGAGGACCTGAGGGAATCCAAACTGGAAAGGGAGGTTCCGGGCTGGGTGCAGTGGCTCACACCTATAATCGCAGCACTTTGGGAGGCTGAGGCGGGCAAATCACTTGAGGTCAGGAGTTTGAGACCACCTGCCCAACATGATGAAAAACTGTCTCTACTGAAAATACAAAACTTAGCTGGGCATGGTGGCAGGCGCCTGTAATCCCAGCTACTCAGGAGGCTGAGGCAGGAGAATCACTTGAACTGGAGAGGCGGAGGTTGCAGTGAGCCAAGATCATGCCATTGCACACCAGGGTGACAGAGCAAAATCTGCATCAAACAAACAAACAAACAAACAAATGAACAAAACAACAAAACAAATTTATACTTTAAAAGGGTGAGTGCTGCTATCCGAATTATTTCTCAATTTTTAAAAAAATCTAATTTTTTTAATTGAGAAAGATTTAATTATTATTTAATTATGATCCCTGAATGGAATTAAAGTAAATGATTAAAATTTTCTTAAAATCAAGGTAGGAGTTTTTTTAACCAAAGATTATATTCCTTTTTTTTCTTTTTTAACTTTTATTTTAGGTTCAGGAGCATGTGTGCAGTTTTGTTATATAGGTAAACTTGTGTCATGAGAATTTGGTGTACAGAATATTTCATTATCCAGGTACTAAGCATGGTACCTAATAGGTATTTTAAAATATGAAATTCTTCATGACTCTGCATGTCATCCTTATGCAGGGATATTCTAATCTCTGTCTCATCCCAATTTTAGTATATGTGCTGCTGAAACTAGCACCAAAAGCTGTATTTTACGGTTATGTCAAATGAAAATTGCATCTGATCTATGAATATTACTCTGGAAAAATCCCTTGAGTTGTCCAGTGTATAGTAGTAGTCAGGATTAATACCTTCTTTACCAGCTCTTCATAAATCCAGTGCAGCCAGATTTTCCTCCAGTGTTAGAGTCCATCACTGTTGCTGTGGATCAGCAACAAATGAAGTCATTGGTTTCCATTTCAGGCCTGTATTGTATGAAAAATACAAGTTGTGTGAACATAGTTGACTTCTCAGAAATTAAAGACATAGATGATGCAATTTCCTTGAATTATTATTATTTTTTTTCTGCGACTGAGTCTTGCTCTGTTGCCCAGGCTGGAATGCAGTGGCACCATGTCAGCTCATTGCCACCTCCGCCTCCTGGTTCAAGAGATTCTCCTGCCTGCCTCAGCCTCCCAAGGAGCTGGGACTACAGGTGTTTACCACTACATCTGGCTAATTTTTTTGTATTTTTAGAGAGATGGGGTTTCACCATGTTAGTCAGGCTGGTCTCAAACTCCTGACCTCAAATGATCCACCCGCTTCAGCCTCCCAAAGTGCTGAATCTTTTTTCTTTATTTTTAAACACAGTTGAGATCATTCTGTACATACAATTTAATAGTTTCTTGCTTTTTAGGTTTTCTTTGTTAAAGTTTATTACGCCTTTTTAAACACCATACCTTTCATCAAGTGAAGATACTTAGCCATACAAAGGGTTACACATTTTTATTGTTTTTAGTTTTCTGATACTATAAATAATGCTGCAATGGGCATATATGAACATAAATTTAGCCCTCTGTACTTTTCCATGTTTTAAAATGTTTGTTTGTTAGTGATAGGATCTCAGTCTGTCCCTCAGGCTGGAATACAATGGCACAACTCACTGTAGCCTTGACATCCCTGGGCTAAAGTGATTCTCCCACCTCAGCTTCCCAAAGTCCCAAAATGCTGGGACTACAGGCGTGAGCCACATGCCAGCCTGACTGTACATTTATTATTTTTTTTAGATGAAGTTTCACTCTTGTCACCCAGGCTGAAGTGCAATGGCTCCATCTCAGCTCACTGCAACATCTGCCTCCCGGGTTCAAGCAATTCTCCTGCCTCAGCCTCCCGAGTAGCTGGGATTACAGGCATGCACCACCACGCCAGGCTAATTTTGTATTTTTAATAGAGATGGGTTTTTACCATGTTGGTCAGGCTAGTTTTGAACTCCCGACCTCAGGTGGTCTGCCCGCCTTGGCCTCCCAAAGTGTTAGGATTACAGATGTGAGCCATCGTGCCCAGCCTATTGAATGGTTTTTACGTGAAGAAATGGTCTATGTTGGAAACTGATAGCTTTTTTTTTTTTTGAGACAAAGTCTCACTCTGTTGCCTAAACTGCAGTGCAGTGGCACAATCTCGGCTCACTGCAACCTCCACCTCCTGGGTTCAAGTGATTCTCCTGCCTCAGCCTCCTGAGTAATTGGGACTACAGGAACGTTCCACCATGCCCAGCTAATTTTTTTTTATATTTTTTAGTAGAGACAGGATTTCACTAAGTAGGCCAGGCTAGTCTTGAACTCCTGACCTTGTGATCCACCTGCCTCTGACTCCCAAAGTGCTGGGATTACAAGCAAGAGCCACCACACCCAGCCTGATGGCTCTTAGTCATTAAGAGGAAAATAAACTATGTTTTTGTTTTTGTTTTTGTTTTTGAAACAGAGTCTGGCTCTGTCACCCAAGCTGTAGTGCAGTGGCATGATCTCGGCTCACTGCAACCTCTGCCTTCCAGGTTCAACTGATTCTCTTGCCTCAGCCTCCAGAGTAGCTGGAACTACAGGCATGTGCCACCACACCCGGCTAATTTTTGTATTCTTAGTAGAGACAGGGTTTCTCACATGGGACACAAGTATAAAAATATAAGAAAAAAAAAAAGGAGACAGGGTTTCATCATGTTGGCCAGGCTTGTCTCAAACTCCTGACCTCAAGTAATTCACCCACCTTGGCCTCACAAAGTGATGAGATTACAGGCATGAGCCACTGTGCCCGGCCAATAAATGTCTTTTGAGGATTGCCTTGGGATAGTGAGATTTTATTTATTTATTTTTTGTTTGTTTTTGTGTTTGTATTTGTATTTATTTTTTTGGGGGGATAGTGAGATTTTAAGGGGTTCACATGCTAGAAGTTTGAGGGGTGTTCAGTGTTTTACCTTTTGATCTCTTCATCAGTTTCCAGCTTTCGTTTTTGTTAATGCCTCTCATCTCTGAACATTATGTATACTCAGGAATTTTTTATGGGATTCTTAAATAAGAACCTATAAGTGCCAAACTCCCAAATTTCCCCCTTTTCTCATAACAGCAGTTGTCCTAGCCTCCCCCAATTCTTTTGATTTCTTTTTTAAAAAAGCCTTTGGGAGGCCGAGGCGGGTGGATCACGAGGTCAAGAGATCGAGACCATCCTGGTCAACATGGTGAAACCCTGTCTCTACTAAAAATACAAAAAATTAGCTGGGCATGGTGGCACGTGCCTGTAATCCCAGCTACTGGGAGGCTGAGGCAGGAGAATTGCCTGAACCCAGGAGGCAGAGGTTGCGGTGAGCCGAGATGGCGCCATTGCACTCCAGCCTGGATAACAAGAGCGAAACCCCAGCTCAAAAAAAAAAAAGCCAAAAATCAAACAACAGTGTCAAGATTTAAAACCAGTTATAATCCATCTGCTAGGTATTAAAGGTGCTACTAGGAGGTATAGTACTACTAGGTACTAAGTCAAAACAATCCCACTCATAGTTATTTTTTCTCCCAAGTTCATTTGCTCTCCTCTTTAGTTTATCCCAGACCATCCCTACCAACATTATATGCCAAACTTCCTTGACTCAAGTTTTCCTTTTACAGTCATAATCTTTCTTTAAAAAAAAAAAAAAAAACAAAAAAAGAACTTACTTTAGAGATGGGGTCTTGCTATGCTGCCCTGGTCTCAAACTCCTGGCTTCAAAATAGGAAGATCTGTTTCTCTTGTGTTCTCTTTGGATGGCTCTGGACCACTGTTTCTGTGCATAGGCACAGGGGCAGAGCTAAGGAACAGTCATCCCTCCTTGCTGTCCATTATCTGTTGCCAACATGGTTATTTTCATCTTTGTGCCACAGAGTCATTGCTCACAGTGTTTTTCCTCTCGTGTGCCTGCTGCCTCCTAAGGCTACACATATGAGTGTGACCCTAGGCAGATCTTTCTGTTCAGAGCTGAAGCAATATGAAGAGACTTCATGACTTTTTAATTACCTAGATAGATCTTTTAACTTATCTGTACAACTTCTGTAAAGTTACAAAACTTAAGTAGAGTTTTGGCCCACAATAAATAACCACATTAGAAACGCTAATCTAGGTAAGTAGCCCAGTTTCCTAAGTGCTTTCTAATTATGTTTTTAAATTTATGTCAAAGCAACTATGACTGTAAACTGAAGTGCCGTGGTTAGAGGGCACATGTCAAATGAATCACAAACTCGTGTCAGCTGGTCAAGGAATAATATGCTCTTTTCAGTTTTTATAGCACGAGGAAGCAATAATGATAAGGACTACATGCAATAAAGCTGTTATCAGTCTGTGAGAAAAATCCCATATATTAGTAATGTTTTAGCTCTACCAACCTAATAAATTCAGATGCCTTTTGCATGTTAGATTACTTTCCCACCACAAGTGAGCTACAAATAATGTTTGTCTTTCTGAAGGCAAACATTTGTCACAGTCATTCCTACCATTCTTGCATGAATCACACTGGTTCATCTGCTGTGACTTAGAAGATTATGGCCAATGGACAACACAAGCCAAAGTGATAAATGTGCAGTTAGCTCATGTGAAAGCCCACGTAGACCCACTTCTGGAAAAACGGGAGGAAGATTTATGGTGGTAAAGCAGTGGCATGTGTGAGAATTTCCATAGTGCTGGAGCTGAGACATGGAGGAATTGAAATGAGAGGTTAGACCCATCAAGTTGAGAGAGAACGGCTGAGTCAAGCTCATGGTGGCAAGCCAGGAGCAGTGGCTCGCACCTGTAATTCCAGCGTCTTGAGAAGTTGAGGCAGGAGGATTTCTTGAAGCCAGGAGTTTGTGATTAGCCTAGGTAACACAGCAAGACCTCACCTCTAAAATAATAGTTTAAAAAAAAAGTTAAGGAAAAAAGTTATGGAGTCAAAAAAGGTTTTAGATCGATGCTAACCTAGATCCCCAGAGTCACCCAGTGGACATGCTCTGGGTTCCATGGCACGAGGGTCCCCAGTCCTGGTTTCAGCACTGGTCAGCTCTGCTGTTAAATGAGTGGAGTTGTAATTTTATCTCCTTTCCTTAGAGGACTCTCTTAAAGTCAGTGAGGTGACAGGTGACAACAAGAGTTTCTAAAAGTTTATAAAAATAAAAGAGTTTATAAAAATCTTGATGGTGTCCTACACAGCAAGGAACACATTTCATGTTTTTTAAAAAAATACAATTATTGTTAGTAAGAATGGTAAAAATTCTTAGCATTGCTTTTTTTTTTTGAGACAGAGTCTGGCTCTGTCACCCAGGCTGGAGTGTAGTGGCAAGACCTTGGCTCACTGTAATCTCTGCCTCCTGGGTTCAAGCAATTCTCCTACCTCGGTCTTTCTAGTAGCTGGGATTATAGGCATGCACCACCACACCAAGCTAATTTTTGTATTTTCAGTAGACATGGGTTTCGCCATGTTGCTGGTCTCGAACTCCTGACCTCAGGTGATCCATTCTCCTTTGCCTCTCAAAGTGCTGGAATTTCAGGCATGAGCCACTGCACCTGGCCCCATTACTCTCTTTGAGGTGTCATATAATTAAAGAAAACTTATTTTAGTGATGTAGATAAATGTCAGAACCTATCAAACAACTGCTCCCAAGTTGTTCTTATTTGCATCCAGCCCCTTCTTAAATTTTTTCACCACCAGTAAGGACAAAACGGCTACAAATGCCAGAGATCTCAGTAGCAAGAGTGGCCCCTGGCATGGAGTAGAAGCACAAGAAATGTCCCATCTTGGGACAGGGCTTGTGGTGAGCAAAGAAGTTCAGTTCAGCTTCCTATTATGGTAACTGGCCAATTATAGCACACACTTTACAAATTATATTTCATTTTGGTGAAAATGCACTTTGGAATTAGTCATAAGAAGAATCTTGAGAAACAGGCAGAAAGTAAATCTACTTTTCTGCTTGTCATTATGAAGCATAGTGTTTACTTT